TGATACAGCCAACACCCACACCCACACCCACAACCAAAGTAAACTAGATACTTATACACGTGTCTCATATTGACTGCGATATGTTATACAAATGATATATTGATGCCGCACCATTACAACAGCAGCCTCGACAGCCTGCCAGCCAGACATCCTCTAGTGACGGCAAGCAAAGCAGGAAGAGCAGCAGGCAGGCAGGCAGCAGCAGGAGGAGCTCTAGGAGCAGTAGCCATAATGGAATAGGCGGCCATCAAAGCCCCGCATCAGGGGCTGTAGACATGGACACGGATTGTTTAACTTGCGGCTTCCCCCTTGCAACCAAAGAGCCCAAGACCCAAAGACCAGCTAGGCCATTTCCATACGGTGTTCACTTACGCAACCTGAGCAGAGGCAACGCTAAATGAGAGAGAAAGCCCAGCCTCTCCGACCATGTGCGTGTCCAATCATGAAGCAATCAAAGGCACTCACAGAGAATGAAGGAATGTGCAACGAAAGGAAAGGAAAGGAAAGGCAGGAAGCAAGAGGACTGCAAAAGCAAAGCTTACAAGGAAAAGTCAACACCAAAAAAGAAATGAAGAAACAAAGCCAAGACAAGGTAGAATTTTTAGAAAAATTAACCACTTTTGATGGAAGAGTTATCTTTAATTGGAGATTGTAATCTGTGATAGGAATTATTGTATTGTATGTTTACCACAAACAATTGATAAATAAACTTTTACTCGAATTTTAACATGGAACAGCTTTGGCTTTCTTTTTGTAAGGCCTCCTCCTACATTCAGACACCACTTTCGTAGCCCCAAAGCTAATCAGCTGCACAGACAATCCAAAAATTGTCTCCTCATGCATTGAAAGCCATTTACCGATCAATATCTTCACAATGTGTCCCAGAGCATACACATTTTTGGGGGCACAAAATAACAAACGAAATTAAATTTGTACCGATGAAAACACCTTCAAAGCGACCCTCAACCGCAAAGGAAACAAATGTCAGGGGGACCCAAACAACAGCAAGAGCAACAACAACGAGTGAGAAATAGGGCAAAATGCAATAAGAGAGAATTCAAATTTGAAATGTGGCGGAAATTGAAATCGAAGGCGTTGAAGTGATTTCGTCTCGCAAAAATTCAATTGAAGCACCACAAAACCCCCCTCCCCCCCAAACAAAATGTCTCACACAACAAGAGCAACATCAGGAGGAGGAGGATGAGGATGAGGAGAAGCAGAAGGAGCCACAGCAGTTGAACCACTTCACCACCAGAGCTCTTCCACCTCCTCCAGCTCCTGGTACAGTGCCACTCCAAGTTCTTATTGTGGCAGGGCTTCTGGTTCTGGTTACGCGATGCGGTTCGGTGCTGGTTTTGCGGCTCCTTTCGCATGCAACTCCTCGCGACTCGACTTGGGTGCACAATTTTTCCGCTGCATGCAATTTTAATGCGATTTTGGATTTGATTTGTAACCAAAAAATAAGCCAAACAAACTTTACCCTCTCTCGCTCTGAAAAGTGGTGCCGGTCTGTGGTTATTGTTGTAGCTGTCGTCGTTGCAGTAGTTCCTATTCCCAGTTCCAGTTGCTCTTCCTGTGACTCCTGATGCTGCTGCTCCTCCTTCGCTATTTGCTCCTCTTGTAACTCTTCTTGTTGCTCCTCTTGTTAAGTGCAAATATAAATTCAACGGCGCAGTAAACTGCGAGAGGAATGGCATGGAATCCTTTTGCTGGGCTTGGGGGGCAAATATTTATTTGTTGCCGAGCACAAATTTTATTCAGCATACTTTCATGCGCCGCTGCCGCTGAAGCACAATGTGGCACAATTCGCGATGGACGCTGCACTCAGAGCAAAATTTAGATAACATTTCAAATGGATATAGGTTCAAATTATTCGAAGCACAGCAAGCAATCGATAACTATGATTTAAATACGAGTCTTCTTAGGTTTCCGTAGATTTTCATTATACTTAATAACTCATTTTTCTCGGTGTAAAAGTGGAACTGGTGCTGGTCCTCGAATGTTTCTGGGAAGTGCAACTGGAACTGAGGCGCATAAAACCTTCCGTTGCCATTCAAGTGGAAAAGTTTAAGCCAACTTTGTGCCCCCCATCCGCTGGCCCCTTACCCCAGCCGAGTCCCAAACAATTCAAGCGCGAAAATGCGCTCACAGGAAAATCATTCAACGGCAGCCGCAGCAGGAAAAGGCAGTGGAGGGAAAGGGTGTCGCGGTGCACTGTCACCACTCGATGGGGCAGGGGCAGGGGCAGGGGCAGGGTCTAAAAATGCCAATTATGGCCACTAGAGAGTGGTGGTCCCTGTGCGCCAAGGCACTACAACAATAGCGGCAAGAGAGTGGAAAAACTGTGGCATGCCTTTGAGCACATTGCGTATGCGCCATGCTGTCGCAGACATGTTTGCGCCGCAACCATGTTTATGGCATGTTTATTTATGCAGCGAGCACACAGAACTTAATTAAAGTAACAGTCGCCGTCAGCCCCAGGCAATGGGTCAACGCTGATGTAGCGGAGAACAACTCCGAACTGGTCAAAGTTGAAGGAGAGATCGGGATGGAGTGCAGTCGCAGTGGCGGAGAGCTGGCCAGGCCACAAAACAATTGTAAACTCGATTAAATCCAAGCACCGCTGAGCCGTCAGTCCAGGCTCTTAGCTACAGGCCCAAGTTCTCGACTCAAGCACTCTTCCGTTCAACTCTTTCTCGCTTTCTCTCTCTCTCTGCCTCATTCTGTGGAGCTCCGTCTGTGCTGATTTTCTGCCTCATTCTGTGACACTCTCGCCGGCTCTGTGCGCCTCTCCTCTACTCGTTCTGTGGCACTCTCCCCGGGTGTGCTGATAACATACGACAGTTGTGACTTTAAAAATCCCTTTTCGCAATTTTTGCACAAAACTTGTGCAGGATTAATGGCCAGAGCGGCCCAGGCAGCCATGCAATTAAAATGCAACAACAAGGGGCACCGGAAACAGGGGGCAGAAGCACCAACAGCAACAGCAACAGCAACAGCTGTAGGAGAGGGCGGAAATGGAGCAGAAAGATTGCTGTGACTTCGGAGCGTTTGAAAATTCGCATGTGTGACGGTGCCAGGGGGGGCTGGGAAGGGAGGGAGGACAGAGGTCCGACCGGAGATAGCCACGCCATTTTAAAGTGGCTGCCGAGGCAGCAAAACAGCAGCAGCACCACCAGTCGCATCAGACAGGGGCAGCCACACTAGTTACTGCCTCATGGGAGGCGACACAGCATTGTCCACACACAAACACACACACGGATGCACACCGTACCGTAGTGGAGTTTGAGTCGCCGGCAGCATTGTACGGGCTTTTTGCCCGCAATGGCAAATGGCAAAGACAAATAATGCAATTTCCTGACTAACTCATTTGGGGTGGCCACCGTGGCCTCCCTCCTCACCCAGTCGGCTGGCGGTGTGGCACTGTGGTGGCAGTGGCAGTGGCAGTGGCAGCAGTGTCGTGTCACTGACACTTGGTCCCCACTCAGACATTCATTAACTAGGCCCAGAGTCTGGTCCGCTCTGATCAAGGGCACAGGCGAGAGATCTGCAAGAGACTATCCAAGAGTGATCACTGCACACACGGCTGCTTCATCCACATCCAATTTGAGCTCCCTCGAGGCAGCACAACTCTGCTGCTACCACTCCGTTTGCTGATGCAATCATTGCCCACTCCAATGGCAACTTCTGGTTTCATGTAGCAACTGCAACTGCAAGATTAATGCGGTTCAGCATCGAACTTTAAACTCATTTTTAGCCCCGACCACAGAGCTTGATGCCGACCCCCCACGTCGTTGACACACACACACACACATGGGGCTTCCAGGACTCTAGCTGCAGTCCATTCGGTGGCAGACGAAACACATGTTCAGCAAAGCAGTGGCAATGTCCTGCCCGGCACTTGGTCCCTGGCCCTGTAATTTGTCCCCTTACTTGTTGTTTGTTTTGCGCAAAAGTTTGCGGCGACAATTGTTTTGCGGTGTTGCAACAGCACATGCCACATAGAAGCACACAGCACTCTCCGCACCTCCTCCCCCCCCCCCCC